TTTTTTTTCACCACTCGAGTTTTACAATTTTTCTGCTCTTTGCGATCGATTTCTCAAAAAACTTGCGAATTCAAATGAAATTTGGTACAAATTCTGCAAAAAATTGCGGAAAATATTACACAATTTGGTGCGCTTGAGCGTGCGGTAAGCGATCCAACAAGCAATTTTGGAGCGTTTAGGCGTGCGGTATGGTTTTCTCCAGAAAAGTTGAGTTTCGTTTGAAACTGTTTAAAACCGCCGGAAATCACGTCAATTGGGTAGTTTTAAGGGTGATTTCAAGCTGCGTTTTTCCTTGCGTTTTTTCACCTCTCGAGTTTTACAAGTTTTCCGGTCTTTGCGGTCGAATTCGCAAAAAAACTTGCGAGTTCAAATGCAGTTTGGTGCAAGTTCTGCAAAAAAATTGTGGAAAATATTGCGAAATTTGGTGCGTTTGAGCGTGGGGTAAGCGATCCAACAGTTGATTCACTTCAACATTTGATTCCAACAGTTGATTCAACAGCGATCCAAGCGTTTAGACGTGCGGTATGGTTTTTTCAAGAAAAGTGCAGTTTGTTTAGCTTGAAACTGTTTAAAACCCCCGGAAAACACTTTAATTGGGCAGTTTGTCGGGCAATTTCTAAGTGCATTTTTTCATACGTTTTTTTCACCGCTCGAGTTTTACAATTGTTTGCCCTTTGCGATCGGATTCTCAAAAAAACTTGTGAGTTCAAACGAAATTTGGTGCAAACTCCGCAAAAATCTGTGGAAAATATTACGCAGTTTGGTGCGTTTGAGCGTGCGGTATGCGATCCAACAGGCGATTTAGAAGCGTTCAAGCGTGCGATATGGTTTTTTCAAGGAAAGGGCAGTTAATTTCGCTTAAAACTGTTTAAAACCGCCGGAAAACACGCCAATTGGACAGTTTTGCGGCGCTGTTGTCTCGCCGAAACGTAATATGAACATTTTTATTTCACATTTTGGCTGAAACCCAGGAAAGAAAAAATAGACTTACCTAAATGTTCATTGGTAATTCGAAATCCTTCCGAAGCATTTGCCACAGGATTCGAGTCGTTTATAGCCAGTAAAATGTGCCCATACTGTTCTCTGATTGGATAATCCCAAACTCTATACCGGGTGTCGTCTGTCGATGCGTTCAGCGTCAACTCCTTCCACATTCTATCAGCAAAAAGTGCAACGAAGCTGAAAATATTCCTCATTTTATGCCTTCGTACCTGTACAGTGTGTCTTCGGCAAACTTCATGTTGATGAAATACATGTGAGTTTCAGAACCCTGGACAACCGTGTAGTTGATCCGGGACTGTCTAGCAAGTTGTTCCAAGGACTGAACGGGTGCCTAAAATTCCAAAACATTTCTCCTTCAAAATATATTAATTATTACTACAGTCCGTTTTGTCTTTCTATGTGGCACTTTTCAGGGCGTTTCAAACTTGTTACCTTACAAAATTCAATTTTAAAAGTTGTTACCTGCATTCTTTCGACTGTTAAAAAAGCAGCCAAATTCGCAGTGAAAGTGGCCAGCATTAAAACGACAAACAGCCAATAGGCGGCCACTAACGTTCTTCCAGATAGAGCTTTTGGAGCCTCGCCGCCACCTTGAGGCGTAAAAGAAGTGAGCGCGAACCAAAAGCTCTCTTTCAAGGTAAACTCCCTGCAAAAAGTAACAAACTGCAAAGTGTAAATTTTGGTAAAAATAATATCAGAAAAGCATGAATTTACGGAAAGAATATATACAGGGTTATTCACGCTATACGGCACCGACGTTGGCGGCTAGCCCGTTTGTTTTTGCAAACTATTATTTGATGAATCCACAGACGCCTATCGGGTGCACATTTAAAAAATATTTTTATAATGTACAGAGTGTCCCAAAAGAACTAAAAGTATCAAAGTTGTGTTTTTCTAAATGAAATACCCTATATATTACTGCATTTTCGGATTCTCTGAGCAAAATAAGTGTTTGTTTTAATAAGATTTATAATGTCTAAATCTAAAGGTTTATTAAATAATTCGAAGTTTATAAAAATCTAATATTATTTTCATGTGTCAAATACTTCAGAATTATTTAAGTTATGTAAACGTAATTCGTAGTGTAGTGTAACAAGAAATCATATTTTATATCCCAATGATAGTAAACTTACCTTTTTATACAGGGTGTCCACAAATTTAAACTAATCAAATAAGAACTTTAAGTGGCTATAACTTGATTAATTTAAATACAACCCCATATTTTTTAGCTTACCAGGAAATGCAATTTTTAATTACCTATCGAATGGTACTAGGATGTTTATAACTAAGTTTTTGCTTTTTTACAAAATACACCAAATAATGGCACCATTTGGCGTTTTTTTTTTATTAAAAGGTTAAACAACATATCAACAATAACATAAAACAAAGGCAAATTATTTATAACAAATGTTCGAAATGTTGATCGTCCATTTCCAGACACTTGCAAATTCTTTTTTCAAAACAACTGCTAACTCTGGACAACATTTGCGGAGTTACAGTTTTAAAAGCGTCTCTTATGCGTGTTTTCAAATCGTGTGAAGTT